GGTAGCTCATCCTATGGTTCAAATGTTTGTTTACCCCCAAAATTCATGTGCTGAAATTCTAACCCTCAAGGCAATGGTAACAGGAGGTGGGACATTTGGGAGGTGAATGGATGGCATTGGTCCCTTATAAAAGAGACCCTTGAGACATTCCTTGCTCCTTCCGCCATGTGAGGACAAAGTGAAAGACAGCTGTCTATGAACTAGGAAGCCAGCCTTCACCAGGCAACTGATTCTGCTAGCACCTTGATATTGGACTTCCTAGCCTGCAGAACTATGACCAGGAAGTTTCTGCTGTTTATTTGACACCTGGTTTATGGTGTCATAAACTGTCTTGGCCTGAATGAACCAAGACACTCAGCCTAATGTCCTTTCACCATTCTTGAACAATCATGCGTGAAGTCTATGATTGAAAGTCACTCATTCCCTGGCTTTGTTGCAGTTGGCCTACTGCATGCTGAATGCCTGTCTCCGTGGAACTTCTGGTTTTCCACCACTAGGTACCGTCTTCTGTTTTGCAAACAACTGCTGCTTCATCCTAGACTCCAATAATGATGATGATACCAATAACAGTAATAGCAAACATGCAGTGCTTATAATACGTTTGGCAATATACTTAATGTTTCTAGGTGTTGCCTCATTTCTCCTGACCACTACCTTACATGGCAGACATTTTTAACGGAACCTTTCATTTGATGGTAGCTATCTTTCATTAAGCTGCCACTACATGACAAATATTTTGCTAGGCTGTACATATAAAATTGTAATCCCTACAAATATATGGTGTGGGCATTTTATTCCCCATGTTGTAGAAGGAGGAACTGAGAAACAAGCTAAATGACTTGACTAAGTTCATGCTGACAGCAAAATGTGATGAAATCTCAGAAGCTGTGTCCCCAGTACCAGAGTTAAATAGGTTGGTCTTTCCCTAAAACCATGCCTCACTCTCCTATCAGAATCTATGGCCCTAGTGGACAGGTCTAGTCCAGGCCCTGACTCTGTCCTATCAAATTGTTTCTTGATATGATTTTTTTTTAGGTGAAGTTTAACTCTGTTGCCCAGGCTGGAGTGCAGTGGCATGATCTCAGCTCACTGCAACCTCCACCTCCTGGGTTCAAGTGATTCTCCTGCCTCAGCCTGCCAAGGAGCTGGGGTTACAGGCGTCCGCCACCACACCCAAGTAATTATTTTTTTTTTAGTAGAGACGGGTTTCACAGTGTTGACCAGGCTGGTCTTGAACTCCTGACCTTATGATTTACCCACTTCAGCCTCCCAAAGTGCTGGGATTACAATGGTGAGCCACCACACCCAGCCTGCATATGACTTTTATTAACAGACTGTGTCCTAAACCACTGCACATGCTTATCGATTGTAAGTGTGTGTTCTTCAGTTCCTTTGCTCATTCATTCATACATTCATTTATCAATTCATTCACTTGTTTGGCATGTATTTATTGGGTGCTCATTCTATGACAAGCATTGTGCAAGAGCTAGGGAATTGAGACTAAAAACGCATAGCTTGGAGATATATATGGAAACACAATGGCATACCTACAGATATAATGGAAGTATGGAGTCTACATCTGTGAGTCAGGACCCTGCAGATAGGAGCTAGTGCTTGAGACATAAAGCATGACCCAGAGGAGCATGGCATTGCAATCAGAGGCAAAATAATTTGGTAGGAGCATATGGCATATTCAAGGGTGCCACAGTAGGTTCAGCAGGTGCTGCAGATGGGGCAGGAGATGAGAGAGCTGGCACAGGGATGAGGAAGGAGATCATCAGACACCCTGTATATCCTCCTGAAGAGTGTATGCTTTATCCTGAGGTATAAGAAAAGGCTTTAATGAAGCATGTCAATCTTCTGCCATGTAGAATTTACATGACTAGGTGGTAGAAACCACCTCTTCTACTTTTTAAGGGGTTATCCCTTAAGGTATGAAGTTAATATTACTTATGTAATAGAGTTCCATTAATTGTTGTTGAGTGGGAATGCATAATGTAATATGCATTTGTTTAGCAAATGCTCAGAAAGCTAACACAATAACATACTCTATCATGTTTCAAATGTTCTTCAACTCTTCACCTTTATCCAGTCAACCCCAAACACTGAAAGGTAGTCAGCTGGAAAGATGTCTCTGAAAAGTTTACTGATTCCCAACAATGTGTGGAGTTACCAGGAATCACTGTACGTGCAATTACCTCTGCTCCGGAAGTTTACCTCCTGTGATGAATTTGATCTTCACTCCATAAATTCAATCTGCTAACTTGCTTCTTTATATTTTTTCTGACTCTAGTTTTGGAAGTACATTACAAAGTGATAATTACTTAAAAAAAAAAAAAAGAACCAGGGGAAATAATTTTGGGACCAAGTTCTCATTTCATGTTTCTTAATGAAACCTGATACTTGCAAAGTTTTGTTCAGTTATGCACTCATCTGAAGAAACATGTGCATTTTCTCTTTCACATGTTTTAGGCTGTCTCGGAATTCCCTCAATGCCAGTCCTCCAGCAGACCGGGACATTGCTTCTGGTTACCCCCATTCCACCTTCTCTGCAGGTACCTACAACCTGCCAAAGGTAGCATATGACATCCTGACTCAGGAGACAAAAGAGGGTGAACGCAATGTTGACAAAGGTTTCAGATTCATTCCCCCTTCCCTTCCTGTTACCCCTAACTGTGGAGATTAAAAATGGGGAATTTGCTTCTTTGGAGTGAATGAATATAAAATGCCTTCTTATTTTCAGTGTGGTCCCTCATCTTGGATCTCATTATTTCTTTAAACATGCCTAAAGGTGGCTTGGTAATTTCACCTTCTTATGCAACTTAAGTACAAGTGATAAGGTGCCTTGGGGGCTCTTGAGTGTTTGATCCCAAGCTTTCATGTCATTTCTGCCTCTCCTTGAACTGCGAGGAGATAAAAGAAAACCAGCTGTTTTCTTGTTAAAGATCAAGGTAATCAGGATGGCTATTCAGGACACAACCATGACCGCTGCGGGGGGAAAATGAGGTCGTGTGATGTTTTTCTATTAGGCACAGCATGTCAGATTTATGTAGCTGTCAGAAAAGGTATTTTGTTTCATGCCTATTTGTGATTTCTTTGTTGTTGTTGTTGCCAGTTTAAAATTCCTGGCATCATCTTCAGTAAACTGAATGAGGCTGTTCTTAGTGGTGCCTTCCAATGGCAAGAGAATAGTCAGTATTTCAGATACTTATTAGGTTTCTGAACTATTCTTCACAAGCATTTGCCTTATTCTTTATCCTGATAGTCATGCTGTGGAGTAGATGATGCTATTCCCATTTTACAGATGAGAAATTGATGACAAGAAGGGTAAATAACTTGCTGATGTGGTTTGGCTGTGTCCCCACCCAAATCTCATCTTGAATTGTAGCTCTCGCAACTCTCACGTGTTGTGGGAGGGACCTGGTGGGAGGTAATTGAATCATGGGGGCAGGTCTTCCCATGCTGTTCTCGTGATAGTGAACGAGTCTCATGAAATCTGATGGTTTTATAAAGGGGATTATCCCTGCACAAGTTTTCTCTTGCCTGCCGTCATATAGACATGCCTTTCACTTTCTGCCATGATTGTGAGGCCTCTTCAGCCATGTGGAACTGTGAGTCCATTAAACCTCTTTTTCTTTATAAATTATCCAGTCTCAGGTATGTCTTTACCAGCAGCATGAAAACAGACCAACAGACTTGCCCAGGTTATATTGCTCATCAGTGTTAGTGGAACTAGGATTTAAAACCCAAGTAGTCACTGCCAACACTAGGATGTCGTAAGAGAGGTGCTCAGGGTACAAAATTTAAGGAAGAACTCCCTCTTAATCCTGTGCAAGTACAGAATTCTCACATGAGAATGAATGTTTCCTTAAATCATTCCCCTCATCCTGGACTTGCAAGTAACGTAGATTTGCAGGCTAGGTACTTAATCCTTATACATCCTGCCTTCTTGGTCCTCACCCTCATGGAACAGCCTTTAGTGGGGCAGTGCATTGAACAGCCTGACAGAGGGTGTGCAGGCATGGAAGAGACCAGCAGAAACAAGAATCCAAAGCAGGTGTCTTTCTTTGTTCTTAGCTGGGCATTCTCATGTGCCCTCAATCTTCCTCCCATTATATTTCCATCCTCCTCCAGTACAGAAAGGAAAAAAGATACTCTTCACTTGAGAAGTAAATGTCTGTATCTGACAGAGAAATACTAGAAGAGCATCTCTGAGCATCTTGAACTTAGGCCTAGCTACTCCAAAGAGCCCGATTTCATATCATCAGGTCCAGACACACCTGGAAGTGCCTGGTGGAGTGAAAAATAATGCAGGGTACATATCTATAAGGAGTACTGGGGCTTAGAACAGGGTCTTATGAAGAGGAGTCAAACTGCCTCAGAGAAAAGAAAAGGTAGAGGACAGTCCAGGATCCCAGGACATCAGCGAAGAAATCTATCCCTGCAAATACTGTTTACTCGCTAAAATTTTTCAATATGCTTGGTAGGTTTTGAATGGGAATAGATTTTTCTGGTTAGCTGACAAATGACAAAATTGTCACTATATAATGAAGATAAAGAGGTCCTTCCACTAAATCCTATACAGTCTGAGCTTTAGGAGGCCACTGGGATTGTGGACTGATAATGTTGGAACTATCTCTGGTACCCTTCCATAATGGATCAACCTTCCCCTTGACTCAGTGGACCATGGAAGAAACACCATATACTCTTATGGACATGTGTGGAGAGCCAGCAGGAGCTAGGGCCATGGCTGCATGAAGGAGGGTAAGTGTTGGTATCTGGTAACGTCATTAAACTTCTCAGCATCACAATGAAAAATTCCTGGTAGTCCTTCTGGACAAACTTTTGACACTGAAATCTGAGCAAGACTGGTGGATGATGGCTTCTCCTCCCTTACGGGCATCATGCCAAAGGAACCATGTGGAAAGGACCATACCAAATGGGCAAGCCCAACAGTGCTCAGCTGAAGGGCCCCTGAGCTGTGAGGGAGCATCACTTGCCTCTTTAATCAGGTTCATAAATCTGGGTCCAAGGCGCCATGGCTTATGTCGATGGCACTGAAGGGAGCTGACGGTCAGCTGGGATGCCCGATGCGAGGCAATGGCCACCATGTACACAGCATCATACATCAGAGCTGCTTCGGTCTGTGGAGGAGAACACACCGCATCTTCAATTCCACCTTTGCTTACCTGTCTTTACCTGCATAATCACTATCCCTGCTTCCAGAGCTCCCATCTATCCTATCTCAAAGGCCATTTATTCTTCAGCTAGACAGTTTTCACTCTCCAATAGCTATTTTTCTCCAAAATAATACCTCACACTCCAGAGTAAATTGAAATCATAACTCTGCTTTGTTTCGAGTTCTTTATAAAGCAATCCAGATCAGTCACAATAGACTTGATTCAAGGAACAAATATTTTATGAAGTGTCTTCTATGTTAAGATCAACTACCATGAGCTAGAAGCTACTAAAGCTCAAAGTTGCAATATCAGATTTGTTTCTCAACATTTGTCTATATCTATTTATCTATCTACTTACTGGTTTATATTTGGTAGGGAGCAACAGCTACAATCATTAACAGGCGATTTCTAGATAAGGATACTGGTGTTGGTCACTTTCATTTACCAGAGTCAAGAAGGTCATAGTCATGGAATGAAACTCAACAGCAAATTTTGGGAGACCCTCTGAAGAGCAGACACGTGCAACTTGCTCAGAGCATGCCTCATCTTGCCAGCGTGTGCTTTCTTGATAGAGATTGAAACAAGTCAGTCATTACTTTTGGGAGGCTGGGCATCTCGTTCTTCCCTTCCTCATGAAATTCCTCTCATTTGCAAACTTTTACATAATACTTACAGCATTTTATAAAATACACTTCCCTGTGGTTTCCTTTAGGGATGAAATCTTATATTACCCTTGCATTTTACTTGAGGGATTCATTGCAACTTCAAATACATTAGCTCATTTGAAATTCTCAACAAGTCTTCAAAATAAGCAGAAGAGATAAAGCTATTATGTGAGAAAACTCACTTCGAGGTGGAGGGACACACACATACACACACACATACATATACACACACACACCCTCATAGTGAGAAATCCCAGAGATGTTATTACTTCTGGTTATTACTTCTGGAGAGTAATAAGGATTTATATACATAGCTAATCATTTGCAGAGTTAAACCTAGAATCCAGGTCATAGAATCATAGAATGAAATTATCATATGGTTTTTCAAAATTGGTTGATTCATGCAACATATACTATGCATTGATTGCTCATGTCTTGGTGGAGGAGGAAAGAGAGGACAGGGGTTACTATGTCTTGCAATTCTATCAGTCTCTGAGGCCACAGAATAGCTCTACTTATTATTCTTTACAATTTTTATCATTGTATTTTATCATTGTCCTGGGTCTTTATATCTGTTTTTTGATAAGTGTATTAGTTTTTTGGAGGCAGAAACTGCTCAAGTTTAAGTTAGCTTTGGCGGCTAACATGATTTCTGACACAAAAAAGTTGTTTAAAAATGTTCACCGAAGAAATTAATATTACTTAATTCCTTAAAATGAAATTTATATTTGTGAGAACTGTATAATTGCAAGGTTTTAAGATGTAGTTTTAAGAAAAAATATTTCATTCCTATTTATGTAATTGACATATAGTTAGATGAGTGGTAGCAGTAATTTCTAAAGCTAAAAAATGTTTGCATCATTTAAGTTAAAGACTTACGCAATCTACTTTGTAGATGAGAAAACTAAGGCTCATGGAAATTGACTGCTATAAGGCTACTCCATAATCAATTTCATGACCAGGGTTTGAGCTTACACCTGCCTGATTCTAGCACCCATGATCTTTACCACTGTGCTGTACCAATTCTGTTTAATACAAGGAAATTAAGCTACTGGCAGATTGAGACTTTTTGAAATGCAATCAATAACAATAGCTGACATTTATTGAGCACTTATGATATGTCATGTACTGTTCTAAATCCTTTGCAAACATTAAATTTAGACTATCACCTTTATTCTTTTACAGATAAATAAAGATATTAAATGGGATCCCCAAACTCATGGTAGGATGGGCAATATTCAAACCCACGAAATTGGTGATGGAGTATATGCCCTTAACCATAAAGCTGTGCTGCCTGTAAACCAAGTTATCAGTCTGACGATTTAATAGTCACAATAACAGTTCAATAATGGCTAATATTCACTGATAATTACTATGTGCCAGGTACTATATGCACTGTACCTATGTCATCTTTTTCATTACTGAAACTAAACTTTTGAAATAGGTATATAAGGCAGAGAAATTGAGGCTTGTAGAGGTAGAATAACTTGCCTGCAATTTTGTAGCCATTAAGGGAAGGAGTGAGAATTCTAATTCAGGATGCAAACTCAGATTTCAGCTCACAACCATAGCCACATGCTATGGTGACTTGGACTTTTTGTTATCAATACGATATACTTTAAAAAAAATTTGTATGCATATTCATTAATTCACTGAATCACCAATTTGATAGAGAAGTTATAAGGACTGGAATTCTAATACTCTGACTTTTCCATAAACCTAGTTTAAAAGATGGACATTCTTTCTCAAGGCTGGATGCATATTGGGAAGGGCAATAAAATGATTCAGAATTATAGTTCTAATCTGTGCCTTTCAATCCAAAGAAGAAAATTATTTATTCTAAAAAATATGCTACTCCTTGAAATACAATGTTTTCTTAGATGGAGAAAATGTTTACACTAACTGTATTATAGCACTAATAAACCACCACTGATTTTCCTCCCCCTTTCAGTTTTGTGCTTGAAGGCTGCTTACTGAATGACTGTTGTCAGTTTAGGTAATAGGTAATGTAATAGAAAGTGGCCTGTTTCAAATTTTCTTCTTCCAAATGTGTTTATGTTCACATTTTATATATATCTAAAGCTTGGGTGAAATCACATTGTTCAATGACCCTAAGAAAATCTTTTCACCACAGCGTGAACCATGAAATAAGCATATTGAAAGCATACTTCTACCCAGTACGTAATGTTCTGGTTATTACAACAATATGCAGTAAAGGATTAACTCACCAGGCTTGGGGTATTCAGACCTTGCACATTCCAAAGAGAGGACTGGCCCCTTGACTGGCTCTCGAGAGATAACCTTTAACTCCTTGGAATATTCCAAAAAGAGTGTTATTGTATTCCTGGGGTCCTGGGCAACATCAGATTGTTTATGCCAAAAATATGAATTATGATGAATGCCTATTTTTGTTGGCCTAGGGCTCTGGATCATGCTGTATCAATTTGATCTCTTGAAAGGCTGGATACTGAGTAACTAAGGCTAGCTACATGGGAGCTCCGTGCCTATGTGACCAAGCATCCCGATAAAAACATGGACCCCAAGGCTTGGGTGAGCTTCCCTGGTTGGCAATACTTTCTACTTGTCATAGACCATTGCTGAGGATTAAGTGCTGTTCATGCAACTCTATTGGGAGAGAATACTTGGAAGTTCATGCTTTTCCTGTGTGAACGCTCTGTCACTTTTTCCCTCACTGATTTTACTGTCTTCGTTTGCTATAAATCTGTCATTGTGAGTGTAACAGATTTTCTGAGTTCTGTGAGTCCTTCTAGCAAATCATCAAATCTGAAGATGGTCTTGAGGACTCCCAACATAAGCCAGTGAGATGCCACCTCATCTTAGAGACAAGGACTAGCAACAGTATATGGGCTTAGAGAGTCCCCATGCTTTGCTGCCTGCATGCTATATAATTGTTGCTGGAAACAGCTGGAGGAGGTTAGGGTCCTGAAGAGAAACCTAATCTTCAGAGATTGAAGGGGCTGGTGATACAGGGTCACATAGGTCCCAGTCAAGAGTCCATCTTGGGCTATATGTGCAAGCTAAGGAATGTGTTACTTGGAAACACATGGAATTCTGCCATGGTATTTCAGAATGTCTCTTGTTCTTTTATTGACTAAAAATTGGCTAAACATCAGGTATCATCAAGTAAATTTAATTCTGTGTCCTAGAGGCTTTGCATATGTAATCTAGCTTAATCTGTATAGTAACACTGGAAGGCATTATTGTGCAGGTTTGCGGATGAGCAAGCAAGCTGAGAGAGGTTAAGTAACTTGCTCAGGTCACTTAGAAGACATAGCCAGGACTTAACCCCAGGCTTTTATTATCTGGGAAGATTTTGCTTTCTGTACTAAATCCACCTGCCTATTTTCTTTCATCACTGGAGTAGCAGTGGATGTACAAGGTGGGGGCTCTAGGATGTATTCTCTATGGGTCATGATTAAGGGAAATGTTTACAGGTGAGAGAGCAGGATAAAGCTACTGACTTAACTTTATGCTGTGAGTGGATGTGAAGAACTGGAAAGGCAGATGAACGATCAGTGCTTTGTTGTTCCCACGACTCTTGTGCAGTGTTGACTCATAAACAACTTTGGTCCACAGAGAAGAACCCATTTGAGAATGAGACCTCCTATATTAATTACCCAGTCTATCCAAAAGCCAAAAGGTCGAATCAGTCCAAGTTCTGAGAAAAAATTAAACGTATAAAAGGGAACAAAGTAGATTTTATAAAAATCACCCTGAACTTCTGTTAATTCTGTTAATTAACACTTTGGTTGATAAAAAACTTTCTTTTTTTATTCTCAAGATATTTTTTAATAACCAGTTTCATTGTTTTTGAACTTGGTTGACTTAACAACTTTCTTAATAACTCAATTTTAACCTAATTTTTAAAGGCAACTTTCTTCTTTAATTAATTTTATTGTTTTTAAGTCTGGTGTCAAGGTTTTTTGGACATGGGTATGACTGACTTCTCTATTTTCAGATTTGAAGGTTTTGATATCATCATATTATTTGAGGATTTTTTAGCGTATTAAATTCTAAGAAATGCTTAATAATTAAAAATATTAAAGAGAAAAATAGATAATTGGGTGGGAAATCAAAACACATGCATTTTCCTTATGCTTTTTCTAATTCCTATATTCATCCACATATGTATGCACCACACACAAAAATATGACTATAAACAGCTTATAGGGAAATTCACCTTGAAGAATAGTGGAATGACACACATGATTTCAGAGAATGCAATTCTATTATAGTAATAGCATTGTTTAAACATTAAGAGTGGCCAGTCTGTGATGCATTTTTAAAAAACACTATTATTTTAAAGTAATCTCTATTTTACTGATCATGCACATTCACACATTTCTTATTTATAGGGACTCTCTTTGCACTTTTATGAGACTATTTCAGGGCTACCTAAATATTTTTCATTTAACATCTTCAGTTTTAGTAGAAGCTTAATTCTTATTTATTTAGTGCATTAATTTCTTTATTAAATACGTGTTTATTGAAGGTGTACTTTGTGCTGGGCCTTTTCTAGTGCTGGAGAGAAAGCAGAGCACAAAAGCACAAAGCCTTTTTTTCATGAAAGACACTTTTATGAAGTGTCTATTCTTGTAGGGGAAGGTACTGAAGAAACAAATCAAAATATAACAAGTCAGGTCATAAAAGCAATGAGGAAAACAAAAACAGGTCAGAGGAGAGAGAGAAAAAAACGAGGAAGAGGGCTACTATACTAGACAGGGAATCATGGAGGCTCTGTCTGGTGAAGTGCCATTTGAGCAGCCTGGGTAGGTAAGGTTTTTAGGTGGGAGGCCGGTGGGGGGGGTGGGAGGGTGGGCGGGGGAGGGCAACAAGTGCTTGACATGCAAGAATGAATGAAGGGCAGACAGGGTCTGCCATGTGGACCCCATAGAATTGGAACCAAAGGACATTTTTTCTTTAAGGTAGAAAAGAAAGAGTTTGGATAGAGGCAACTTGACAGCAAAGATTTGTTAGCATTGGGCCTGGGGTTGGCGTCATAAGTGTGCTCTTTTGGTTTAGCTATTGGTCAACTGGGTGTCCTTTCATGACCTTCACTTCCCCATGACACAGTTTCCACACTCCCAGAGTAACCACATCCAGGAGAAACAGAATGAAAACAGTCAAGTGCAAAGCAAACTCTTTGGATAAAAAGAGGTAAATATGCTTCATATAATTTCAAAGCTATTATTTGCATGACTGTTGGATCCAACTCCTCCTGGGCCCTGTGTCCTATCACTTCTTTAAAAAACTAGTATGGACATGGCCTGATAGATTTAATAGTTACTCTAACCACTTTTACAGCATCTTAGTGAGCCACCCTCTTCTGCTCTGATAAATCCACACTTTCCTTTTGATAGTTTATTATAATAATAACTACAAGAACACAGCCTACAAACCCCTCTCTTAGTTGGGATGACAGTAAAAATCTTCAGGCAGACCAGGTCCTCTTTTCATCCACTGGGACTCTGCCTTGTCTCACTTCCTGCCCCCGGGACTACCGGTAGCCCAGGCCACCGGCCACAGCCCTAGGGTAGCAGCACCACCTCATGCTCGGCCTGATTCCGCATGAATTGCATAGCTCTGTCTCCTTTGTTAGATGATCTTCCTCATCTCAGTCAATACGTACAAACTGTTTTGTCAGCTCAGAATAATGGAACACGCTAACTTTTTTCTTTGTAAATTAAGCCATACTTTTGGTGAATATTTAATGTTTGGCATAAATCCACAATCTGTGTTAACATAGCTTCAAACTGTAACTCTTTTAGTGGTACATACCAAACACAGGTAAAAATGATAGGAGATCTCATCCTGTGATTGAAATTTCACTGGAAGAGTGGGCAGAGAATTTGGAACCATATTTGGACTCACTGAAATTATTAATCCAAGAGGGAGAAGAGACAGATCTATCTATCAGCAAGCTTCTCCTTCTGTCTCTGGTGTTCCCTCTCCCTTTCAGAAGTCTAGTATCTCTGTGGATATTCTCTACTTGTTCCTATTCAAAGAAATGTTTCAAATCATCAGAAGGCTCATTTGTACCAAGATGCTTTCCATCATTATCTCTCAGTTCACTTTGAAAGTTTTAAAAGTTATTTCAGGTTTGAAAAACAGTCAGGGAGCCTGAACATAGAATCATCCAGAACCACTTCATTCATTTATTTCTTAGTTTTCATTTGTTCCTCATAAGAAAAAAGAAAAAAAATCCCCAGCTTTCTGTGAGATGATGGGTAAATTGCATCTTAAAAGTGAGAGTGCTTCTCCCAAAGATAGGAATGGCTAATAAAATACTGTGCCAATTTAAAATGGTATTATCGGCCTGCATTCCACACTATCTTTCCCCTTAGATGGGTCCTACGTAGGAAACATTTTTTAAAAATTATTTCCTGCTATTTTCTTCAGCACCCAGGGAGCTTCATTAGAGAAATAAAGTGAAGGGAGGTGCATTTGACAACAAGAGACAAATGATGTAAAGGAGAAGCTCTCTGATGAGGCAGTTTGCAATTTATCTGTTCAGCAGAGTGTCTCTGACTTGTCAGCAGGCAGGTCTGGCATCTACCTCAAGAGCGACATATGGCTGGTATTAAACACTGTCAGTTCTGCAGAGGTGAGCCTACACACATCCAGGACAGGAAGACATGAATACACCTACTGTTTGTAAATCCAGCATTTTTCCACATTGCCTCTGCTTGCTGAAACGTGGCAGAAGTAAGCAACACAAACTGGCTCTGCAAAACTCACAGACAGGCTCTTCCTCCTCTTCCCCAGCAGCCACCTTCCCCTCAATCACATTCCTAGAGTAAAGCACTCTTCACTTGTCCTTGCGCTGGTTTGGCTGATAATGGTGGCTACTCTTGTTAAGATTTTATTTTTATCTGGGGCAAGTACATCCCGGAAGCTAAAAATAGCAGTTTTTGCTGGTAGCCAGTCACAGCCTTTCAAATTACCTAAAAAGCATACTCTCTTTTCTCTAATGCAAGTCAAGGCACCCACCGTAACACTTGTCTCTAACAGTTTAAAAACACATGAGCTCTTAATCTAGCCCCCAAGGAATTCAAATGTTGTCGCAAATGATTTTATTTTAAAATAACTTACTGTCATCATGCCATCCAAAAGACCAGTCTCGGGCCTGGGTGGGGCCTGCAGTCTCTCCATGGACCACTTCTCAATGATGGATGACACGTGAGGGTTGTCGATGTTAAGGAGCCGAAACCCGGTCATGTTGACGCCGCTGTACCTATAGAGTTCCAGATCTAAAGCAAATAAGTCCTGTGTAGCATGAAAAAAGAGAAAAGTGGAAAAGAATTCACATTTTCATGTTTTTTTATGAAAAATAAAATTAATGGTTGCAGCAGCAACTAATACGGTGGTACCTCTCATCTGTGGTTTTACGGTTCATAGCGTCAGTTACCTGCGGTCAACCACAGCTGGACCATGTTAAATGGAAAACTTCAGAAATAAGCGATTCATAATTTAAAAATTGCACACCATTCTGAGCAGCATGAGGAAATCTTGAGCTGTCCCATGCAGTCCTGCCTGGGATATGAATTATCCACACTATTGATGCCACCTGCCCATCAGTCACTTAATAGCTGTCTCGGTTATCAGGTCAACAATTGGGGGGGCCGGGCACGGTGGCTCAAGCCTGTAATCCCAGCACTTTGGGAGGCCGAGGTGGGTGGATCAC